AATATGCGGGTACAGTCGTCCCTCTCTAATCCGGCACTTTATAAACCAGCACAATTTTCAGTAGCCAAATGTCCTCTTCATGCACATTGCAGCAGTAGATCAGATTTGTTAATCCAGCACCCTCCCTAATCCAGCAGATTTCCGTGGCACAAATGGTGCCGGATTATAGAGGGACCACTGTATATTGATGATTTTGTCTTGAGACCCCCCCCCCCCCCCCCTGCTTGTACAATGGTATTGCAAATGCCAAATGGACATCTTTGTTCCGGAAGAAACGCTGATAGTGCCTCTTGTTTAAAATGCTCCTGATATGCAGTGTGTGTGTGTGTGTGTGTGTGTGCGTGCGCGTGCGCGTGTGTGTGTGTGCGTCTGTGTGTGTGTGTGTGTGTGTGTGCGCGCGTGTGTGTGTGTGCGTGTGCATGCGTGCTACATGCGTGTGTATGATTATGTATTCATGACGAACACGTGGTATGCTCTTTCCCATGCAGGTTCAGCCATCATGCCGCGCTGCTGTGTTGTCGTCTACAGAGGAGCTGGAGACTATTATCGAACTCCTGAAATCAGTGCTTGTAAGGCGATTGGCAATACGGACACGATTGCGCTGTGTTGGTGGAGTTGATTACAAAGTCAGGGTTATGTCCACATATTGGGTTGGCTACTGTACGTGACTACGTGTACTGTTTTTGGGGGTTCACATTTTTGCTTGATCTGTGATCCGTGATTATAACTGTATGCGCATGTCTGTGTCTGTGCGACTTTCCTGTCGTTCTGGTCAGGATGTTGTCGAGAAGCATGTCACGGGCTCGTCGGCCAATCACAACCAGGCAACGGAGCGACTGCGCATGCTGCGCAGCGCGTTCTGCATGTACACACGTCTGCAAGTGCATCTGCATGCTCAGGTTAGTGCTCGCGTACACGTACGAGTATGGGTGTGTTACAGTGTCAGCCATGACCATCTCCTCTCTTTTTCTTTCTTTCTCGCTCTCTCTCATTCACACACATGCACACACGCACGCGTGCACACACGGACACACACACGCACACACACACGTGCGCGCGTGCGTGCACTCTCGTTCCACGTGCGTGTCATTTCTGTTTGTGTGTACACAAGTGTACGTTTTGCTGTAAGCTCTAGTGCGTATCAGTCTGTTTTCAGCTGTGAACTGTGCTGTAGTCACTAGCAATCTTTAATATCAGTGTGACTTGATGGCCAAGCACCATTAATATTGATATTGTGTGGATGAGAACGCTACTTCTTTTCTAGCTATTCCTTACTTCATTTATAACACTGGCGTGTACCCTTTGCGGGAAGCTTCTGGGGAATGCCTTTGGTATGTACACTCCTTTACTGGACGTGTACTTGATTCTCTTGCTTACTTTAGGCTTGCAAAGAGCAGTCGACAACAACAGAAGACAGATCGGCCAGTTCAGCATCCCCTGTGCTCCCGCGCTCCGTATCGGCCAGCGGTGATGAGTCTCTGCTATCGACCCTTCCAGCTCCTGCTTGACTGGGCCAACAACGTTCTGATGAAGGGCTTGGCCGATGCCAGTGATGCAGAGTGAGTTGTGCTTGACTGTGTGCGTGCGATCAGGCGCACGTGCTTGTGTTGTTGTTGCGAATCTTTAACCTCACTATTGTTGATTTTCTTGCTCTTGTTCTAATTCTTGTTGTTCGAATGCAAGGGTTCTTGTGTGTCCCAGTGTCCTATAACATGTTCTTGCCCTGTGTCATTTGCTTATTTGCTTGTTTCTAGTGTGCCGCCTAAGCCCACAGCCATGCCAAGAGGCAAGCGGAAGGCGGGGCAAAAGCAGCCTACCCCGTCCAGCAGCAGCGATGCTGGTGATCTCAAGCCGCAATCCGTAGCAACGTGTATTTTGCAAGTAAGCTTTAGCAGTTCGGCGTGTTGAGTTTCCTACATCGATTGACTTTATTTCCTCATCCTTTGCCTCTCTCTCTCTCTCTCTCTCTCTCTCTCTCTCTCTCTCTCTCTCTCTCTCTCTCTCTCTCTCTCTCTCTCTCTCTCTCTCTCTCTCTCTCTCTCCTCTCTCTCTCTCTCTCTCTCTCTCTCTCTCTGACTTTCTCCGTCTCTATCTCTCTTTATCTCCCTCACTCTCCGTCTCTTTCTCTCTCTCTCCCTCCTTGGAAAATAATGTTTGATTTATTTGATTTACGCTTTCCTGTGGCCACTAATTGTGATATGAAGAGTACATAGACCATCCTGACAACATTCCTTGTCTTTTTTTAAAGCTTTCTTCTCTCTTTCCTCCTCCTTCTCATCTGCTCTCTCTCTCTCTCTCTCTCTCTCTCTCTCTCTCTCTCTCTCTCTCTCTCTCTCTCTCTCTCTCTCTCTCTCTCTCTCTCTCTCTCTCTCTCTCTCTCTCTCGCTCTTGTTTCTCTGACATTCAGGAGTTACTATCTACCTGCACGGAGATTACTGTCCTTGGACTGGCAGACCGCTGGTTCCTGGCTGGACTGGCACAGGCGTGTTCTAATCTTGTCGACACGGGTAGGTCGGAGGGGTGCGGTGAAGAGCGATCTCAGAGACTTGTATCTTTTGGCTTCACTGGCCATAGCCCACCCACCCGGTGTTTGTGTATGCATGGGCGCTGGATAGTCGAGCTCAATGTGCACGCAGCTAGACTGTTTGTTTTGGAACAGTCTTGCTGCGGATGAATTGCGAATGCCAGATCAACATAGTAGAAACTTACAGGCAACGGTTCGTTTCCTCGAAATCCCGCCAGAAATCCAAGATGCCAGAGTAAAGCTGTCTGACTGTAGTTGTGTTGTACTCGTATTGCTGGTAAACACCATTGCACCTCTCCTCTCTCTCTCTCTCTCTCTCTCTCTCTCTCTCTCTCTCTCTCTCTCTCTCTCTCTCTTCTCTCTCTCTCTCTCTCTCTCTCTCTCTCTCTCTCTCTGTGTGTGTCTCTGTGTCTCTGTGTCTCTCTCTCTGTCTCTCTCTCTGTCTCTCTACCTCTCCCTCTCTCTCCCTCTCTCTCTCTCTCTCTCTCTCTCTCTCTCTCTCTCTCTCTCTCTCTCTCTCTCTCTCTCTCTCTCTCTCTCTCTCTCTCTCTCTCTCTCTCTCTCTCTCTCTCTCTCTGTGTGTGTGTGTGTGTGTGTCTCTGTGTGTGTGTCTCTGTGTGTGTGTCTCTGTGTCTCTCTACCTCTCTGTCTCTCTCTCTGTCTCTCTCTCTGTCTCTCTACCTCTCTCTCTCTCTCTCTCTCTCTCTCTCTCTCTCTCTCTCTCTCTCTCTCTCTCTCTCTCTCTCTCCTTCTACCTCTACCTCTTTCTTGTGTTTGCAGGCAAGGCCGGCCTCTTCATGGCATATCTGTGCAAGCTACTCTTTCAGCTCACAGTCATGTTTCATGACCCAATCGCAATTGATGATAGCACTGCCGAGTCAGGTTAGTGTCCGCTGCTAACTTACTCACAAAGGATGGCTGCTTTATATTATATACATTAAGTTTAATCTAGCAATAGCCATTTTCAAGCAGTTGCGTGTTCCAGTTGAGGGTGACGGTGTTGCCTAACTGTTATACACCTTGCAATGGTTTCTGACTACGACGGATTTATTTTCAAAATAACTTTTGGCCTTTGGCTTTCCGCCCTCATTAGCGCATGCTCCATACGCAGAGGAATACACGACCCACACACAGGCGCGACACGTGTTGGTTTGCACTACAGGGTAACTGGGCAAAGGAGCTGGCAGTGTGTAACCATGGAGGCGACCGACCCGGCGGAAGCGGGGACCGAGAGTGAAGCCGAAATTGTGGCTGACCTGCCAAAGGCAGTAACCGAATAGAGTGATTCGGGGAAAGTAGAGAGAATGCTGCCAGCTACTGAGAGTTCAGTGCCCAAGCTAGTTACCCTGGAGGGCCACCCACTTTGGTCAGTGCTTAGAAAGAATGCAAGCATTGAATGAGGCCTATGGCATTAGCTGCTTGCAGTTTTAAAAGAAATCTAGGTACAGATAGCAGTACTGAGAGTAGGTATCTATACCGGAGGAGACCTTTGTAAAGAACTAAAGATGCAGCGCTACTGATCAGTCACTCACTGTGGCTAGCTTCTCTTACACTTCCCGCATCTCTGATAGCTCAACACGGATATAGTGCAGCACCACGTCGCTGCGCCATCGCCCTATATGGCAAATGATGTACTCTGGTACCCCTTCTATAGGTGCAGACGTGGCTGCTCCAATCCTGAACGAGTGGCTGGCATAGCTGGAGGGATCCGTATTTCCAGAAAGCGGTAGGGGGTTGCCCACCTCCCGGGTGATATCCGCATACTTGCCAACCATACCAGTTTTCCCAGTAGACAGTGAACCCTGTCTAAGACGACCGCTCAAGGGACCTTCAAAACGTGGTCTCTGTTACCAGGTGGTCTCCTTATCCGGGGTCATTTGACTGGAAATAGCATCCCTTGATCCTGGTTTCAGTGGTCTTCTTGGACAGGTGGTCGCCTTATCCGAGTGGTCGCCTTGACAGGTTTTACTGTATACTGTACAAGCAGAAATATTCGTCTGGAATTTAATTTCGTCTTTTTCGTCCAACGAGCTGTTGGACTAAATTAAATGCCGGACTAATATTGATTTGTCCAGCTTTTCAATACACTCTTATGATCCATGGACGAAATTTACAACCGGACGAACTCCCTTTCTTTGGAGTTGGACGAAATTATTGACCGACGAAATTTTCTGCTTATACAGTACCAGAAAACTAGGGCAAGTACCGGCATACCGGGAATTTTTTTGAAGAACTATATAGGGAAATGGCACACAACCACGAGTGCTCAAAATTGAAAAACAGCTTTTTTTGTGGTGTTTAAGCTGCGAATTGTGACCAATTGCGGCGCACATACACATCGTTTCTCTGTTGGTGTTGGAGGAGTCGACGAAGTGAAGCGGCATTAGCATGCGAAACATACGACATCGCTGAACTGTCTGTTCAAACAACGAAAAATGGCCAGAAAAGGGAGGAAACTACCCGAAATTGGTGAAAACCAACAAAATAAGGGAAACGAGCGGAAACCAAGGGAAACTGGGCGTGTGTGTACGGAACGGCTTTGGCTGGGTTGGCAAGTATATGTCCGCTCGTGTCAGAGGCTGGCTATTGTGGTAGGTGAGCAGCTGATCCCTAGGAGATTGGGAGTCCGCCGACAGCGCCGTCAGGTACCGCACCATCGCCTTAACAGGACAGCTGATGACATCGGTGCAGCCACCCACGTGGACTACTGTGCCTCTACCGTCCGGGTCTGTCTTCGATTGCGGCATCGTGATGGTGACACGAGATGACTGGTGGTCTCAGGGCCACATTGCCGAACGTCAATGAGGTGAGCTCACCACACCGAAGGAAGCCATGGAAAGCCAGGGTGAAGGCACACTGCAGCATTGCCTGGTCAATTGGGTGCCGCATGGAGGAAACTTGGATGTGTCCGCAAAATTGCCGGAGGATGGCTGTTGTGAGACAAGACTGCCACAGGTCCGGGTCAATGACGACCAGGAATAGCTGTGAGGGAGGGAAGTACGGAATTTGCGGTCGTAGGACGGCCATGCATCATTATGGAGCCGGAAGTTGGCATCGACAATGATAGCCCGGTTCGTCCAGAGATCACCTGCCAGCTGTGGTGAGGTGTCAGCCAGCACCCTAGAGTATGTGGTGAAGGCTTCCACCCATGTGGCCAGATCGTAGATGTGCCGTTTGGCCGGTTGCCGGTGGGAAGATTCCAGGACGAGCTGCACAGATCGGCCCGCGCCCACGTCAAGTTGCATAACATCATGATCCTCCTCGAAACCCAGGGATTCAGGGAACAGATCACTTAATTCCGTAGACTCCTCTCGCACAATCCATTCTCGGAGGCGCGGCAGCACCACCGGGAAGTCTCCCGACGACGGCCACTGTTGCGTCGGGAGGCTGACAGCCGGCGCTGTAGCGGCGATTGACCTGTAACGCCTGAGTTGCAACAACTCTGGTGGCAGCACAAGTCGAGGCCACAATGAGAGGCGGAACATGGGCAGGTCCAGAATTTTCACCAACTCCTGGGCCGGCGAATTGGGCTGAGCCGGCCTGCTCCAGCAACAGCAATGGCGGCAGAGATCTGGCTTGCCAGGGTATCCGGCTAGGGTGGTTGGCCAGCCATCGAGGGCGTAGATGATTGACCAGGTGCAGAAGTAACACCATGGCACGAAGTCTTGGCCATGGGCTCCGGCTTGGGTGATGCCAGATGTCGGCACAACCTGTCCAGGAGCAGAGGAGGAGGATGTTCTAGCGTAGGGCTAGAAGATGCCCTGGTGGACCTGCGTGGCATATCTTGCCTCGAGAAAAAAACGAGCGAGGGTCACGCAAGCCAATGCAACTAGCAAAGAGGGCCAGGCAAGAAGGCTGCTGAAATATGTGTGTATGCAAAGGCCAGCTGCTGGGAGAGTTTGCGCATGCGCACCGCGGCGCATCCGTGAGCTGGCACGAACACGCACGTGATAGAGCCCAGCATACAGTGATAACATTATGTGTCACCGCGTTAACATAGTTTATCTACGCGAAACTGGTACATGTACTTGCATGAATATCAAAGTCTGTTCTATTTGTTTGGTGCGTGCTCTTACTTGCAGATGACCCGGTTCCCTTTCTACTTGCCAAAATCCTTCAGTGGTTGCAGGAAGAGTGTGCAGAAGATGAAGAGGCAGCCAAGGAGAAGGTACAGCATCTTGGTTATCAGTGTACCCAACCTGTCTCGTCCTGTGTCGACGTTTTCGACTGTGAATCGAAATTTTCGGGAAGGTTTAACTTTTTTGGCTGCTAACATGCTGTTATGAAGCCTAAAACTGACTTAGCTACCAATTCCCAGCGGCGTTGCCAATCTGAAGTTGTGAAACGCCGCGTGAAA